GAATAGATAAGCTTTATTTATGGAGCCCTTAATACAAAGTAGATAGAGACCTTCCATAACATAATGGTAACATTTAAATAGCAATTACTATATACCAGGCTCTAATTATCTCACTTAGCTCCTACAACAATTTTGGTAGTATTTTATGGTCTTGGTAGTATTATTATCCAAATTTTATAGATGAGGTAACTGAAACACAGGGATCACCCAGCTAGTAAGTAATAGAGCCAGAATTCATACTGAATCATCTGGCTCTAGAATCTGTATTCTTTTGCACTATGAGATTAATTGAGTAAACAGTACATTATCCAGAGAAGTAAAAGCCATAGTGTCAACATGATAGAAGTGTATTTATTATTTATAACATGAAGAACATCTGCATTTATTTATGAGGCCCTTCAAAAGATTAAAATTCAGTACTGCAATAAAAAAGGGATTATTTTTCAAGAAGGTGCTTCCCCAAAACAATATTTTTCTAACCTTAGTCAACTCAATGTTTGTGAATGATGTTTGCATAAATAAATTACAAGATAATGTTCCATTAGAGAACAATGATATCTTAGAACTTTAAGTCCATATATTTGAGAAACAGCCAAAAAGGGGCAAAAGAGAAAATTTCAGAATAATATTCCATTGTATGGATATACCACATTTTGTTTATTCATTCATCAGTTGGTAGGCATTTAGGTTGTTTCCAACTCTGGTTAGTATGAATAATGTTGCTATGATCACTTGTATACAAGTTTTATGTTTTTACTTTTCTTGTGTATATACCTAAGAGTGGAATTCCTGGGTCATATAGTAACTCTATCTTTCGTTTTGTTTTATTGGTTTTTTTGTTTTTTTATCTTTCGTTTTTTGAGGAACTGCCAGACGGTTTTCCCAAGGCGCTGCATCATTTCACATTCCCACCAGCAATAAATGAGGGTTCCACTTTCTCCACATCTTTACTAACCTCTTTTTTGTCTGTCTTTTAAATTACTGCCATTGGAACGGGTGTAAAGTGGTATCTCTCTGTAGTTTTGATTTACATTTTCCTAATGACTAATGATGTTGAGAAGCCTTCATATACTTATTGGCCTTTTGTATATATCTTCTTTGGAGAAATCCATTGCCCATTCCAAAAAAATGTTGAGTTGCAAGAATTCTTTACATATTCTAGATGTAAGTCTCTTATCAAGTATATGATTTCCAAATATTTTTCTCCCGTTATCTTGGTTGTCTTTTCACTTTCTTGATGGTATTGTTTGTGACACAAAAGTTTTAAATTTCTGTGTAGTTCAATTTATTTTTTCCTCTGTCACATGCTTTTGGTGTCATATCTAAGGGACCACTGGCTAACCCAAGGTCACTAAAATTTACTCTTATTTTTTTAAATAAGAGTTTTATAGTTTTAGCTTTTACCTTTAGGTCTATCACCTATTTTGAGTTAATTTTTTTTTTTATCTTTGGTTTCATGTCTTTCATTGGTTTTGTAAAATTCTTGGCCATTGTTTCTATAATTATTGCTTCTGCTTCATTCTCTCTCTCTCCTCTTTTTCTAGGACCCCAGTTATATATGTGCTAGATTTATTCACTGTGTCCCACATGCATTTTTTTAAACATCTTTATTGGAGTATAATTGCTTTACAATGGTGTGTTAGTTTCTGCTTTATAACAAAGTGAATCAGCTATACGTATACATATATCCCCATATCTCCTCCCTCTTGCGTCTCCCTCCCACCCTCCCCATCTCACCCCTCTAGGTGGTCACAAAGCACCGAGCTGATCTCCCTGTGCTACCACATGCATTTAAAGCTCTGTTCTCTTACCATTCTTTTTTCTCTCTGCTTCAGTTTGGATATTTTTTTCTTGACCTATCCTCAAATTCACTAATCCTCTCTTCTGCTGTGTCCAGTCTGCTGTTAAACTCAACCACTGAGTTCTTGATTTCAGATATTACATTTTTAAATTTGAGATTTTCCATTGATTCAATTCTCTGTTGAAATTCTGCATCTTCTAATCCATTTTGTCCACTTTTTCTTTTATTTTATTTTATAAACTATTGCTCTACTTTATAATAGTTATTTTAAAGTTCTTATCTGGACTCCAATAGCTGGCTTATCTGTGGGTCTTCTATTATCTATTTTTTTCTCTTGACTATTGGTAAAATTTTCCTGTTTTTCTCACATCTCATAATTTTTTTTATTATGTACCAGAGTTTTATAGTAAAAACAATAGACAATAGGATTGATGTTATTTTCCCCTAGAGATGAAAATAGACAAATAGGGTGAGGATCAGGGATGGAGCTGGGTAGGGATTGGGTTGGAGTTTTAGTAAGATTCATTCAACTTCTGGTTTCTCTGTTTCTTAGGTGTGATTCCTCTGGGCTTTTGATAGAGAGCCTGCAAGGTTTCTATCTCCTCAACCCAGCAGATTCACTTCTGCTTTTCAGAGGTTTTAAACTTAAATCTTTATCCTCCTATTCATATAACTTCAGAAATATTGCAAATGTCTTGAGGGAGAAGACTGCCTGTGTATTTAAGCAGGCTCCTCTTTTTCGGTAGAGTTCATTTTGTATGCACTGGTAGAATGTGGGGAGATTTTACTCTTCCTATCCTTCAGTCTTTCGGCCTCCTGCATGACCCCAGAATTCAGCAAATATTCTGTGGGAAAGCTGGCTGTAAGTCTGGGCCTCCTCTCTACATTTCCAATCCATTACACAACTCACAAGACTGTTAAACATTTCACTGACTTCTCTCTTCCTGTGTACATTGCCTCTGCCCAGGCTAAGCATCATCAGTCCATGCCCAGAATCATTAAATGTCACCAGATAAAGAAAACAGCTGTTCATTGTGAGCTCACTTAGTCCTGGCTTCAGCAAAAGAAGATTTATTCAACTGCATTGTCCTCTGGGGGATGAGACTGAGCACGTGAAGATGCCAAATTAGAAGTCTAAATGTAAATAGCACTGTGGTCTTTGCAGAGACCTAGACCAGAACAAGCAAGGACATCACTTCAGAGTGGACTAGTGTTATTGGAACTGGTAGGAAGAAGCCTCCAGAGCAATACCTTATAGTAGTGAGAAGCAATAGCAGTGCTGTATTGAATAGACTTCAGTTCTGCTTTTCAGCTTGACCTTGGGAAGAGAACTATTCCCTTTAGATGGAGGAAGTCCTTGGGGTTCTTGGACAACATAAGAATAGAGCTCAAGAGGGAAATACCAGATCACTAAAATATCAGTGGCAATATGGCACCAGTTTCAAATGTTATACTGCACTTAATTTAATGGTCAAATTAGGAGAAAAGATGAATGTTGGGATATCATGTAGAAGTAGTTCTTAAGATTATTGCTCTCATTTTATTTTGATGTTTTAATCATTGAATAAACAGTAAGCTAACGTAGATGTGGTAAAAATGCCTCTCACTTTAAGAAAACTGATATATCAAAAAATCAAACTAAAAAACTGTAGGGGGAGGCATGGAGGTGGGGAGGTGTTCACAGGATTCCATTCAACTAATTGAATGCTAGCATGTGCTATGCATTGGGCTTGGAACTGGGAATACACAGAAAAGGTGATACCCTTTGCTATGGACTGAATGTTTGTGTCCTCCCCAAATTCATATTTTGAAGCCCTCATTCCCAATGTGATGGTGTTTGGAGGTGCAGCCTTTGGGAGATAATTAGGTTTAAATGAGTTCATGATGGTGGAGCCCACCTTGTGGGATTAGTGCCCTTGTAAGAGGAAATGCTAGATCTCTCTCCCCCTCCCCCACACTCCCACCATGTGAAGGTACAGCAAGAAAGCAGCCCTCTGCCATCTGGAAGAGGGCTCTCACCAGAACTCGACCATGCTGACCTTTCCCCATTACAGACTTCCCAGCCTCCAGAATTGTGAGAAATAAATGTCTGTTGTTTAAGCCACCCAGTCTATGGTATTTTGTTACAGCAGCCCTTGCTGACTGAGATACCCCTGCTCTTGTATCTTTGAAAGTTAAGCCTCATGATGAATTTAAAATGGGATTAATTCAAGTATATATATTATTTTTAAGCAAGATATACTTGCATTCATTTAACTATTTTTAAAAATATATATATTTTTAACTCTGCAGTAATGGAATGATTTCTTCAGTAAGATTTACTTCCTGGATCCAGGTATTGTTTTTCTAACCTTTGACAAACATAATATATTTTTACTATGAGAGCTTTATCATTATCCTGTTGAGCTTAATTCAGCTGTCTGGATCCAAGATGGGAAAAGCATGAGATCAAACCCTCAAAACTGGTCAAGCAAAAGCTAAGAAGAAAATACGGTTCACACAAGAGAAAGCAATAGCGGTGAGGAGGAGGATGGAGTAGGAGGTGAGACACTGGTGGGAAAGAGAGGAGGTTTTTAGCCTAAATGTCATTAAAAATAGACCTCAGTTGGGAAGGGAACACCAATTGGAAATCGGCTAAAGCAGATAAACTACACTTCCCCTAAGACTATGATTGAGTCACGCTTATTAATTTCTGCCAGGTTGCCTACTTTATGGTATTATGCCTATAAATCTTAATTCATTATTAGAAGTATGCTTTTTGTCTTGGTTCAAATTTCATTTCTTCTTCACCTCTCTCAAAAGGATACTTTAGACTACTCACTAGATTTGCCCCTTTCAAGTCCTAGGTTCAATTCCTCCTATATCTTTGGGGATGGAATAATGAAATGTGTGGAACAGAGGCCGTAATCAATAAATCAGTTTTCAAATATACTCTTAGTTTTCAATATTTGGGGGAGGGTAAGAAGGTAGCTGTTTCAGGGATATTTGGCATGTTCCAGGTGGATGCGCGATGTCTATAACCGTCCACGTCTCTTAATCTGTGTCAATACACGCACAGCTTCGCAGAGCGCGCCAGCGACTGAGAGGCATTTCGCGGAGGCCCAGCTCTGGGGCGCAGGTTTCTCTACTTCCGGCCCCGCCCCCTCTCCCGCGGTTGCTAGGAGACGTGATGTCACCGGAAGCAAGGCCTGGGATAGGCTAAGGCGAGGAGAAACCTCTCCCACCCGGTGCAACCTCAGCGCCCGGCGCTGGCTCGCCAGCTGTTTGTAGGCCTGGGTGAGGGGCGGGGGTCCGCGGAGAGTAGAACCGCCCGCGGCCCAGCCTGTCCCTCGGGCTAGGACCGGCCGCGGGGCGGGCGACTCCGGGGCGGCTGCCGGTGCTTCCGACTGACAAGCACTGTTGCCATAGCCCGCGCTGCCCGCCGCGTCCCTGGTCTCGGCCGACGGCGCTGCGCGGCGGGTGACCTCTCCGAGCCCCGCGCGATGACGGCGCCCTGCTCCCGGCTGGCCCGGCTTCCTCCGCGCCGCCGGCTCCGGCTCGTGCCGTTCCCGCCGCCGCTGCTGTTGCTGCTGCTGGCGGCCGCGGGGCCGGCGCGCGGCTGGGAGAGCGGAGACCTGGAGTTGTTTGACTTGGTGGAGGAGGTGCAGCTCAACTTCTACCAGTTCCTCGGGGTGCAGCAGGTAAGCGGGGCCGGCCGGCCGGCAGCCAGCCCGCCGGAGGGCTGCGCCTCCGGGGCAGAAAAGTGCGGGTACGGGCGGAAAGGAGGGGGTGGGGCGGACTCTGACCCAGTTTCCTCCGAGGGAGCCGGGCACGCGGGGCAAGACTTGGTCATACTGGGCTCGTCTGCCTTCCTCAGCCCGATCCACCAGGATCTCCTCGTAACCAGTCTCAAAGGGAATGACCCGCCTTCCCCAATTCCTCACCGCCTGGCTCCCCTTCTCGAGTTCCAGTCTCAGTGACAGCAGTCTCAGTGACAGCCTGGACGGTGCCACCAGCCTGGGGTGGCGATCCCTTCTCTTTCCTCTGCCATTCTGGGGGAGATCCTTGCACCCAGCTGTGCAGGAGGAAGAAGGAAGAGTGGTGTGGGTAGATCTTTTACCCTTTCCTTGCCTGCCCCGTGAATGTGGGAAGTAGTCGTCGTGTCTGCCTCCAAATTTTCACCTTCCCAATTATACTTATCTATATTTTAGCAGCCTCCTTTCCTCTGCCTTTCCGGGAAGGCAGGAATACATTTTGGTTGGCCTCTGGGTTGCAGAAATTTTTCTTGCATTGTACTTTGGAATCTATGTAGCCTGTTGGATTAGGCGTTCGTATCATAGTTTAGAAATCTGGAGGAACTTGAAGCCTCTACAGTGTTGGTCCTGGAAGTCATAGAAGGAGCCATCAAGTGTTCGGGGCAGTAGAGGCACTTGGGGAGCTCCAGGAAGAGAAGTCCAACCAGTAACGCAGGATCGTTGTCTTTTTCTTTTCCTTTCGTTTCGTTTTCTTTCCTTTTCTAGCTTGAGACTTTAACTTGTAATGTCCGTTTGTTGCTATTTACTTACACCCTGGGAGTGGTGAATGAGGGTAGATATCCCGTCTCCGACGCCATTTTACTGGTTTAAGAATTATGGGGTTAAAGACTTAGAATTTCACACGATCTGATTGAGCCCTTCATAAAATGCTTTGAATAGTTATGGGGGAAAAAAAATGTTTACCAACAATTGTCATTCAAGGCACACTTCCCGTGACCAGATGTGAAGTGTACATTTCACTCCTACAGGTTATCATAAATTTGTGTGAACTGTTGAGCTTAACATTAAATGGAAATTTACTTTTCAATTAAATATATATAATTGAATATAAAATAGCAGTTGCCATGGCACCATGATTTTAACGAATTTCAATTTTGTAAGTTATAAAGTAGTTTAAGAATTTCACACTTCAAATTCTTCTGTACAAACGATTATGTGGCAATTGTCTTTAGTCATTGTCTTCACCTGGTGCCACTTCCTGCTTGTAGAGATAAAGTATACCTCATTTCAAAGTAAATGGTGTCTCAATATGTGTAAAAATCACTAGTGAAATATAAATCTTAAGACTTTTAAGAATGCCTTTAATATTGAGAATATTTGTTAGAATTTACCATAGTTGATTAAATTCTGTAGCTAGAGTCTTTTACATAACCTATCCAAAGATTTTGAAGATATTTTCCAGTTATTCAAGGAAAATTAAGCCCCTTTCAGAGAATACAGAAACTTAGTAGCAGTGGTTTAAATTTTAGATTATGTAATCTAGCTTGCATGTGAACTCTCATAGAATTTTCATTTATAAATTCATGCAATTAAATTTGCAGAGTTAATTAGGCAGTGTGAACAACCAGAGCATTTAACTATATGGGCAAAGATGGGAAAATAAAGAAACATAGGTAATTGAGAAGATTCTGTGTGGAGGTAACATTTTAATAGAAGGATCCAGAAAATTGTTTTCATCTGTGTTTCTCTACCCAGTTGTGTTAAATTGGAAAGAATGCAGAAGAAACTTTATTCTACCTAAGCAGAGAAACTGATTGGAACAAGTTCTTTACATTACATTGAATCTTAACTTTCTTAGGAGACTTTCAGGAGACCAGAAATTTGGTAGAGACAAATGCAGCCTGTCTTATGTCCTTAATGTGTAATTTTCAGGCTAAAGCCAACGAATCTCTTCTTGACTAGCCAGACATGAGGAACCAGAGCAAAGTAGGTAGGTTACTTAAGAGTGGTGACCTGGGTTTACACACTTAATCAGTTTTGTTGTCCATTCTACAGAGATTTGGTTCATACCTACTAAATATTAAACACTGGGAATTGACCAGTATGTAACACAAAACCCCTAGACTCATTTTAGTAGGGGGAAACAGTAAACAACCAAACAAGTAAATATAAATGTCAGATGGTCAGAGAAGTCCTCAGAAAGAAGTAAGGGAGTGAGCCATGTTGATAAGTGCATTCAAGGAAGGCAAACGGTTAAGCGCAAAGGCCTTGGAGCTTACTTAGTATTTGAGGAATGGCAAGGCAGCCAATGTGGCTGGAGCAGGGTGTATGGGGAGGACAGTAGTAGATGAGATCAGAGTCATGGGGGGCCGGGGAAGATCTTGTAGGGCTTCAACGTAAGTCATGAGGACTTTGGCTATTATAAGTAAGTTGGGGATCAAGGGGGATTTTGAACAGAAGAGGTACATAATTTGACTTAAATTTCAAAACGATTATTGAGTTGGAGATCAATGATATGTATGTTATCAATTATTGGATAATTGTGGTGTACAATGTAGAATGGACCTGGGTGGTGCAAAGTGGTCAGATTCTGGATATAATTGGAGCTCTATAACATAGAGCTGACAGCATTTTGCTAATTGTTTGAATGTGGGATGTGGAGGCGGGGAGTGGGGAAGAAAAGTTGAGGATAATTTGAAAGCTTTTTCTAAACCTCAGAAAGTGAATAAATACTTGTCTAATTGCACTTGCCACTTACTGAGATGGAGAAGTCTGGAATAGAAGCAGGTATGGTTGGGGGAAAATCAGTAATTTGGTTTTGGTCATGCCAAATGTGAGGCGTCTAATAAACTTTCAAGTTGGTTATCTAAGCCTGGAGTTGTAAGGAGAGGGTTTGGGCTGTGCATAATAAATTAGGGAGTCCCTGGCACTCCGTAGGTAATTTGAAGCCACAAAACCAGGTAAGTTCACCAGGGGAGTGAATGTAAAAGAGAAAAGAGGGGTCTGGGAACTGGACCATGGGAGGAACCAGCAAAGGAGAAGAGGAAGGAACAGCCAGCGAAGTAGCAGGCAAATCAGCAAAAGATGGTCTCTTTCAAGTCAGGTGAGGAAAGTATTTTAAAGAGGAGGAAACAATCAGCTGGGCTAAATGCTGATGATAATTCAAATAAGATGCGTTCTGAGCATTGACTGTTGAATTCAACAGTGTGGAGGTCATTGGCTACTTTAGCAAGAGCTGTTTCAGTGGAGTGGTGAGATCAATAGATTCGTTACATTGGGTTCAGGAGAGAAGGAAAGGGGCGGAATTGGAGACAATTAATAGAAAAAAACTTTTTTTTGAGATCTCCATACCCCAAACTAGACTCCAGGGATGATTAGTGACTTAATGTGGCATCCATTTTATCCCTTTTTCCACCAGGTCTAAAGTAGTTGGCTCAGTCACTCCCTAAACTCTATAATTGGAATAATCAATTAGATTATTAGACTTTTCGAACTTGAACTAGGCTTGAATTACACTTTTAGAACTTGAACCAGGCCACTTACTGACTTATGACCTTGTCAAGTTATTACTTCATTTTTAGGACAAATGGTATTTTCTTTCTTTATTTATTTCATAGGAGACACTTAAATATTTATTAAATGAAAAAATATGAACATGGTAACTAAAACTAAACAGTAATTCACCGAATGAGTAATTGCTTGACTGTTTTTATTCAATAGGTTATATTTATATTGGCCTTTTATTGCTCTCATCCAGCAAAGGAATCCCTCTCCTTGTATTCCCAAGTTTCAGATTGGTTCTAAAAGCTTTCAAAGGGATTCCAGAAGATTTTAGTGGACATGTGTATACAGGTGACATAGCAGAGGCTCACTCTATTTTTAGAATGGCTTTGATTGTTCACAGGGCATTCCAATTTGGATATTGCATCTTTTCAGAGAATACAAGGTAGAAGATTAGAAGAATGTAGGAGAAAAGTAGTGTTATTGAAATACTTCTCATTAGTAACTTAAATTCTAGGTCCCCAAACAGTATTTATATTTATTCTAACAGCCCCTGCTCCTTGGATACCTGTATTTCTTGTGGGATCAATTTTTTTCATTGTCTTTTGGGTCCATGACTTACTTTATACTTTGTACAGTGTTCTAGCCGACAATAAATACTTCATAGTCATTTAAAAATCTGTCAGTTGAAATTGTAACAAGCTAAGTTAGCTTAAATTTTGCAGCATTTACTTTCTGATGAAATCAGAGTAATTTTCTTGGTGCCAGTCATTACAGATTCCTATTCATAGAGCTAGAAAATGTGCCTCTTTCTCTTAGAAAATTTTTAATAACTGCATCCTTACATTCAAATGAATGCTAAAACCTGGTTAAAAGAAGAAAACTATTGTTAAGTGACATGTGCTTACAAAATGTTGGATTTTAACTTTTTAATCAGAATTAATAAATCTTTTAAGCTCTTTCAGTCTGTATTTCAGATGCACAGAATGTACAGAGTAGCAGCCTGTATAAGGAAGGGACAGTTACGGCACACTCATCCTACATATACCCAAGGGGAAGGACTCCCTTAAAGAAACAACTGCTGATCTCTTGACTCATCTCTTACATCTTTCCATGGATGAGTTACCTTGTTGGAGGGTGATCACCTTTGGTCTGCTTTGCTTGATTGGGGAGAGCTAACTAACTAAAAAGCGAGAAGTAATGAGGCTCATTCTTAACAGACCAGTAAGGCAGTTGTTATCCTGGCCAGACTTTCTCTTGAGTGTACTGTCTCAAAGTCGAGGCTGGATCATCAAAAACTCTAGAAACAATAAATGCTGGACAGGGTGTGGAGAAAAGGGAACACTCTTGCACTGCTGGTGGGAATGTGAATTGGTACAGCCACTGTGGAGAACAGTATGGAGGTTCCTTAAAAAACTACAGATAGAACTACCATATGACCCAGC